CGCGCGCAAACCTACGATCTGGTTCGACAGCGGGCGTATTGGCCAATTATTCAGGCTGATGTGACAAACAAAGTGCCAGAGTGTGAAAGTGCCAACTTTTAAGTCAGACTCCCGCGCATCACAATGTCGAATTCAGTCAATACCAGTATTTTAGATCGGTGAGTCCTGATCCATCGATCTCATGGGTCCACTTCCAATGCCCTTTAGGGAACATTAAGTCATTCTGGTAATGACGGAGCAATTCACGCGCCGGATCGAAGCTGCAGGAGTCACGGATCAAAAAGCCACTACGGTAAGCAGAGTTATGATGGTGCATATCGTGGCGAATCACGGCGTGACGCAAACAATCCTTACGGATCAAGGACCGTGCTTTGGGAGTGACAAATTTCGCACACGCTTACAGAAATTTGGCTTCAAAAAGATTCGCAAAACTTCCTATCACCCACAAACCAACGACCTCACCGAACGAGATAACAGAATAACCAAAGAATGATTGGTAGTTGAAGGAGTTAACTAGGAGTCGACCCTACCATCATTACTTTTAGCGCCCAGTTCGTCCGCGCAGGCCAGTATCAAACATACACCATTTCAACTGATGTGTGGAAGAATTCCAAAGCTGACATGAGATCTAGACGTTGTTCCGGGTCAACAAAACGATTTGTTTCCTCAACAACTTCAACAAGCAGGATGTGAGACCCGAAAGTACCTGAGCAAGATATGAGAGGGCACAATGCGTAGGTCCAGGATACAAACTAGACGGACGGCTTTCGGATCAGAAGTAAAGTATAAGCGGTATGTTGGGGATTTTCCAGCTGTCGTGGCTCAAGGAAGTTATTTCCCAAATGATAAAATATCTATACCGCATAGTTGAACAACGCCATCCGGTGCACGAAACATAACGGATGAACAAAGTCCATTGTGCACATCGGAATGATCTCGCAATATGGCACGAGGAAACGATCAACACACGATTGAAACGATAGGCGGAAACTCCGGAATTCTGATACAAGAAACAAGCACAATGCTATCCGATGTTGAAAACCGGAGACATAAAGGTTCTCCANAGAATAAATCCATCATCGGTCGAGGTATGCAGAGAGGGGATGAGTGTTACTAGGTCCTACTCATATTTGTGAGTAGTATGGTCGGATGGCGCATAGGAATGTGATTGGCGGTTACGCACAGCGGTCAAAAATACACCATTCCTCCTAGAGAGAATTACCATGTTGAAAAAAATGATAACGACGGACTGTTTCATTCACTATCCTGTTTCCTGCTGGGAATTTGGACGACATGTTACGAATAAGACGTTTTGTTATTTGTGCGCCAATTCATCTATACCCCAATTGTGGTTAGTAATAAACAGTTCTCCTCAAGCTAGTACTCGTCTTTTGTGCATGATTCCTTCCAACCCACCTCCCACGATTTCTGGCATGCGCACCTGTCATCACATTTTTTTCTCTCTCTGTATATTTGGTGAGTGAATAATCCGAGATGACGCCAGCCAAACACATAACCGTTCCAGTTTCTGGACAACAGGCCATAGGTCAACTGTATCGATCAATGAACGGCTATACAATTTAAAAAGGAGCCGTATGACTGAAAGAACAAAGACAACGTTTGGCTGATATGCGTTTGACTAATGGTACTTCTATTTACACAGTATGTAGTCCCAATTATATAGTCTCAGTAATTGATCTGTAACTTTTTTAGCCTTGATCCTGCGTCTCCGTGACCAGAGATTCTAACGCAAGATTTCTGGTGCCATTCCATGCTTTTGGTGCTACCGTAGTTTGTGATCCATAACCCGCACCTTTTTCGAGTGTTAGAATATATCAGGAATCTTTGTATCATCCAAACTGCTCAAATATGATAAACCAGTTTGTGCCAGCTTCTCTGGAATGTTTACGTGAGCCTTCCAAAAGCCATTCTCATGAGTTTAAAGTTGGTAAAGCTGGTTGCCCATGGTACCATGAGGTATTCATGCTTCCAGTGGTGAAATTCGATGTTTTTTAGTGATTATCTTTTACAAACTTATTGGTTTCTGGAGTCCAGAAGAAAGCGGACTGTATATTGCGTGATCATTGAACCGATATTGTTACCTCTCATCGAATCGCTTCAATTGAACAAGTTATCAGGTCACGTAACCGTAGTCGAAAAATATTGTGCCAAATAAAATGAATGGCTCTGATTGGAAATTGCATAAAACAACATCAACAATAATAAAAACAATAACAACAACCACGGCGATCGGTCTGATGTTTAATTTGCACAAACTTTGCACTGCTCCCAAAGTCCCCGGTTTGCTGTTGCGATACCAATCAGAGGCTCTGAGGAGCACTATAAATACGAAAGGCAACACTGAGGTAATCAACTCGTATCAGCGCATCAGATAAACGGAGAATCATACCTGAAATGCGTCTCAGCTTGTTCTTCCTCATTCTTCTGGCAACCTATGCCAGTCAAATATGCGCTAACCGATCGAAACACTGGGCTGTGCTCGTGGCCGGTTCCAACGGTTGGGATAATTACCGGCATCAAGTGAGTCCTTCGATCCGGTTTTTATGTGGATGTCGGTGACTTCCCCAGTCTTTGTGTTCATGATGTGAATTAGTCTTGTTGGTATAGTTTGTTTCTCATAATTTCGGAATCTTCGTTCGTGTATTCATGCTCGTTTGATGTAATTATATGGCGTAAGCTTAAACGAAATACACACTCCGTGTGGTGAGTTAATCCAGTGCAATTAAGTTCAAGCTTGGGGCTTGAAAGCTTTCATGTAGAGTTCATTGTACATTTATTTGGTTTTGCAGTTTATCAATCACCTCTTCAATGCCCTCCCACATTCCAGGATGACTTGTTTTTGGTTTCGTGATAATGTGCCTCGGGTTTAACATTGTTCTTTTCATTGTGTTCTTTATCTGTTCAGTCTGACGTTGCTCATGCGTATCAACTGGTGCGTAAAAATGGAATTCCGCCACAGAACATAATCACCATGATGTACGATGATATAGCCCGTCATCCTAAGTGAGTCCCGTTTTATTGACGAGAGTAGGGACACGTAATCGGTCGGTTAATTCCATGCAAATATAGCAAATATGACAGTTTTGATTGACACAGTTGTAACGACTCGACATCGCTCCGAATCCAAACAGCCAGAACGTGTTCATTTTGTTACTTAGATTTCTATTAGAACCAGGTTAATTTCTTCAATTTCCCGATGTAACATAGAGAGGAATATAGTTGTCAATGGATTGGGTTGCTGTGTTGTTCAGCTTTTCTGTTGCCCGGATCGATACCGTGGCACCCCAATTCACGAGTTCGGGTACACGATTCCCGTGACTGCACAGCAGTAAGTCCTCTAGAATGTGCATGAGGATTACCCATGCTGAGGTAAAACAGGTCCAAATATGTGATTAGTATTCTTCACCTATGTGGAATTCGATCGGGGTTGCCTAAGAGTCCGATCGATTCTGTGTTAGTAGTCGGATGTATTCCATGGATGACAGACAGTTACGAACAAAATAGCTCACACTTTGAAAGATTTCACATATTTTCTGATGATAGAAGCTCATTGGAATCCTAATTTATAGCACAATGTTGCATCGCACTCCCGTCCCAAATCACAGTAATCCATTCCGGGGGAAATTGTTCCAGGACTACACACACCAAGATGTTTATGCAGGTATCAATATCGATTACAGAGGTGCGGTAAGTCCATAAGTCATTGAACGATTGAAATTATCGGTTGGTTCCATTCTGCTCTAAAATGGATCGTTACTGTTCATTGAACATTGGATAAACAGTTCGATTTCCGCCAGATTACCATCACATCGGTCGTGGACGGACGTAATAAGATTGCTCGAACACGCTCCCGTTACTTGCGTTCTCCCGCTCATCAATGACCTCCGTTTCCCTCTTTCTCTCCTTCTCTGCTTCAGGAGGTCACAGTGAGCAATTTCCTCAGAATATTGAAGGGTGATGCTGCATTGAAAGCAGCCGGAAAGAAAGTGCTCGAATCGTAAGGGATACAGTATGATATTTAACTTTTTTTCTATTTCATTTTATTGTATTGATATTTCACTGGTTAAAGCTGGGTAACATGAAGAGATCGAGTTGATTGTTATTCTTTTCCTTTTGTGAACTTTAATCCCTAATGGCTTTATCGGTGTTCTTGGTTGATAAACACCCAGTCACGTGGTCCACTTTTTTCACCTCTCATTGTCCCACAGTGGGTGAATTATGTGACGACCTACTTACTGATAATAGAATGTTCATTTCGAGCAATGCGAAGTTTTCGTAGAACTAAAGGTTAAAGTCTTACTTACGCTTGTGTTTGTTGAGAAGACCGTCATTATCCGAGTTCTTATTGAGGTATGCAGATTCCGAGATATCGTGGTCGACGATGATACCTGAGTTGAATGAAGAGCAAATTGGGACGAATGTTATTTCATTTATAATCAATATAATTTGTATGAGTGATTTCTTTCCCAGGGGCCCCAATGATAACGTCTTTGTCTTTATGGCCGATCATGGGGAGCCTGGAATTTTCCTATTCCCGGACCAGGTGAGTCAATGAACACTTATCATCTCTGGATACGGATCACGAAGTTGATCGAGTGTTTTTAATGTTGTACCAACAGTTGATCGTTTATCCTTTCCCGAAATCATATTCATAGCCGCTAACAGCGCAGGTGTTCGTGCAAACACTGATCTCAATGAATCATTTGCCACGTTACAACCAAATGCTTATCTACGTCACAGCATGCTTCTCCGGATCTTTGTTCGAAAGACTCTTACCACCAAGGATTAGAAGTGAGTGTGATCGAAGGATTACGGAGTAATTTGGAATCACCTAGATTATTAAAATCTATCACGAAATATTCACTTGTCTAACTCTGCTCCGTTTTTCACTTCACGCTGTCTATTGTCCACGTCAATGCTATCTGCTCCACAGTACTTGGTGTGACGGCAGCTTCACCGACCCAAGAATCATTAGCCATCAATTGTAAGGATCCAAGCAATTTGCCATGCTTGTCCAGTGAATTTTCATACCAATGGAAATCGGATTCATTCAGTGTGAGTTCATTTTAGTTCCTCATCAGGGTCCAAGCTTTATTATGGAAAATTGCTAACAAGCTTATGCTTCTCTTGTCCCCATAGGATATTTACACACAGTCGAATTGTTTCTCAGCAAAAAATGTCACACATACTTCTTCAACGAAATTACGTTTTCTTAGTCATGTGTAAATGTGAGGTATGCCAGGTTTTCATCAAGTCTCCGCTTGAAAGGTTCAAAAGTTACTGCACGAACAATGCGAAATGGAAGAGTGATACAAGTATTGCACAGTCTACAAAAGATTGACACCAGTATCCCAGTTGACGCCGCTGGTTACCGGCCGGCACCCCATGGAACGAAATGTACGCATACGAAAATCCAATATTCATAAGTAGCATAGCGAATAGCATAACCAGGCAACACGCGTATATGGATTAAAAAATATTTCCTCAATAATAAATGAATATTAACAAGGATATACGCGTGTAAAATTGAATAATATGTCCTAAATAAGTTTCAATGTTGTTTGGAAAAGTTTGTATGCAGAAATCAAACCACATCCTATTCTGGACCTCGCTTAAATGCTCCCAAATGAAAAGGGCCGCCGGTCGTGTGACAGGTTCATCTATAACGACATAAATAATCAGCTCCAATAATGTGGATAACGACAACTGAGAGTGAGCAAAGAAAGTACCCGATCAAAGTGATAATCGGCGTTTACAGGTAGTACAACAGGAAACAAACCCATCACGGCTGCGATTAAACTATTGAAGCTTCATCAAACGTCCGCATAAACATTTTCACTATTCTGGTAATAATCCACGATTTGTTATATATTCCACGCAAGCTTCTCCTTGGAATTCCTTGCAGAATACGATCCATGTTAGATGCAGATATGGTCAAGGTCAGCGTCAATTAAAACAAACAATAGCAAATTACACTTCTATCTTTAACAAATGAAAGAACATATTTTTTTTACGAAAATTAAAAAAGGGATCCATTTAAAAGTTATACACAATCTAAAGACGTCCTAGATTGGTCAAACTGCATGGGGTACCGGTGGGTTACCTGTGCCCAGTTGACACTTTGGGAGTATTAACTTGAAACGATATCCCCTAAGGTGTATGTTGTTCGACAACGTATCACGTCTGAAGAACAGAGTTGTGACATTCCAGTCATTATGATTCATTTTACCCCAGATGGGGTCACCTCATCCACAGATAATATCCATTCAAAGTACGTTGTTATTTTTTTCAAATATCTTGATGGTATGCGTGAGTCGTACCGATCAGAGAATGCTTTATTATTTCCGCTTTTTTCATTGCAGCACATTTTGTCTTCATGGACCGTGGGTCAACAGATAAACACAGTGAGACCGCTGGTGAAACGCAGCAATGTACAAGTCTATGGTGACTTAGTAAGTGACATTCACAGACTGTCGCGGTTGTATTAGTTTAAATTGAATTTAAATAATGTCCAGCCCAAGGTCACAATGTCGATGGCAGGGCCAACTAGTCACGTGCGCTCTGATGTGTGTGAGATGCTGCCCAAATTCTATTCGCACTGCGGAATTCAAATCCACTCCTGCCATGGTGTGAGTGGACGACTGAAAACAGATCTGATCAATTCCTTTGTGTATATTTTAAAGACTTGTGATGAAAGGGATTGATCCCATATGTTCCGCGCCATCTTTGAACTTACACAGGGCTACCATAAACGATTCCAACCGGTTACCTCCTCGATGTGATCCGACAAAATTATTTTTAACAAAAAATGCCACTTTTCCAACTAATTTTGAGGCATATGAAACCAGTTAGCAACACAAATTATTATCACGCGATGATTTGTATACTGAAACAATTTCCATCAGCGTACAGAGTGTTCCGATATTCATTTCGAACCTATTGATAAACCTGCACTTTTCCAGCAATGAATTTGCAAATACTACTGCTAGGTGCATCGTGTTCTTCACATGTCTTTTCCCCTTCTTTATTCCACCCGCTCAGTCCATAGGTAACTTGCCTCTATCCGAATTTCAAGCGAAGGGAAATAGCAAGATGGTGAGTCCCCAGCTTAAATGTAACGACCATCGTTTCGTTTCATTTTGCGATTTGTCGTGATAACGCATCCTGACTAGTTGAGCTCATGTATCCACTCGCTGATAAACGGACACAATGCAGAATTGTGATTTCAGAAGTTTCGTGAAATTCTCTTTCTCCTTCTGTGATGTTGGTTTACTTCTGAACACCTTCACCGTGATGGATTCAATGTTCCGTTTTGTTCTCCCCTATTTCATACCCAATGATCCTCAAAACCGTGGGAACAGACAAATGCAACAGGTCCGGTGGTACAGATGTCGCCCGCCGTGGACTCGGTGCCTGAAGACGAGGTGCATTTGTTCCACTTGACACGCCAACTATCAATGAACCAGTCAGCCGAACGAATGGATTTGGCACGCCGGCGTCTAAATCGCGCGACGCATGTAAGTTCCCCTCTGAACTTCATCCATATCGAACGATTCCCAATTGAGGGTAATCATCTGACTGCATATGAACACGTCCGACATTTTCATTAAACGAGATTACACACACTCATACACACATGGACGTATGCTAGATATCTGGATGAGGTGCATAAATTAGCCTTTATTCTTTACCAAACCATATCTACTATCGCATTTCAGCTGGCAAGGATGGCCAAAGAAACAGTCGACGATATTGTGGAACAGGTTTATCGCAGTGCTACGCCGTCAAACCCCCGCACTGACATTTGCGAAACACTGGATTGTCACAATACAATTACGGAACAGTTCAGGATCAAATGCTTCAGCCATTATCAAGTGAGTAATCTGTCCCGGCAGATCTGTGTGTTGGAGACTCCAAGTGAACCTGATCCCGAAGACGCCATAGATTTAAATTAGAGTTTATTCCACTGTCTGTACTCGCTTTTTAATTAGGCCACAACACTCATATGAAGTAATGACAAATTTTTTCACCTAGTCTCCAAACACATTTGAAGAATAAATCATCTTTTCAATTGGTTTCAGGTTCCTGAAGTGGCATACGAAATGCCGAAAATTTACCGGCTATGTGAGCTCGGCTACGACCCAAGATCGGTTGTCCAAGAGATATTTGATCGATGTGGTTAGGTGACAAGCCAATACTTTCATCCGATCATGTCATTTACCTCGTTATTATTGTTGTTTTGAAAGTGAAGAGCTTCCGTTGTCACGCAATAAATTTTGCTGCCTTCATCATTTATGTTTTCTGTTTTGGTTACACTTGGATCAGGAGTGTGAAGGAAACGGTCATTTGGTGTTAGTGCTTGTGCTGAGGAAAGCAAATTAAGTTCGTCGTGCACCATCCAGATCTTCCAGAGCTCTATTGTAGATGAGGACCAAGTCACTAGAGAACAAGTGGTTGACAGAGCACCGATCTCAGAATGCAATTGTGGGTGAGTGATTTGTGAGAAACAATCTGCTGACCTGGTGTTGATCTAATTTCAAATGCATCTCAGATTAGACAGAGTTGAATGACAATCTCCCGGTGTTGGATTGTCTATCTGCTCACAGAATCCGACGATGTTCCCCATTCACAGTCCCGGAATGGTGTAATTGCTCCTNATTTTGCTGCCTTCATCATTTATGTTTTCTGTTTTGGTTACACTTGGATCAGGAGTGTGAAGGAAACGGTCATTTGGTGTTAGTGCTTGTGCTGAGGAAAGCAAATTAAGTTCGTCGTGCACCATCCAGATCTTCCAGAGCTCTATTGTAGATGAGGACCAAGTCACTAGAGAACAAGTGGTTGACAGAGCACCGATCTCAGAATGCGATTGTGGGTGAGTGATTTGTGAGAAACAATCTGCTGACCTGGTGTTGATCTAATTTCAAATGCATCTCAGATTAGACAGAGTTGAATGACAATCTCCCGGTGTTGGATTGTCTATCTGCTCACAGAATCCGACGATGTTCCCCATTCACAGTCCCGGAATGGTGTAATTGCTCCTTCCTTCTGTTGTCTCTTCAATATTTGGTCTGAGTGTGTTCGGTAAGGAGCGTGGTCTGATGAAACGTGATTTTGCATTGTGATCCGGTTTGATATTTGCTTGCAATCTTTTCAGTTTTCCCGAGCCGTCAGCAAGCAAAAGAGCGTTTTCAGATAGCAGTATTGTTTCCAAGGTCACTTTAGAAATCACCTGCTTCACTGTACCCAATGTGTTCGGGAATACTCTTATCTAAACAAGTTGGAACATTGATTTGCTGCAACATAGACTGGAATATTGCGTTTCTGCCTATGTAGCTGCGCATACACGTTACAATTCCCAGAACCGGGATTGTCTGACCTGTTTATGTTTTCATTGTGGAGTGATAACTGATCCGCCGGGGTAGATTCCTAACATTTTTGACGCTGACTATCGAGATGGATGGTCCAGCATCAATTTCTGTTTGAATAGGTGATCCCTTCGACCTCGACGTGTATGTGGTGAGGTGCTGGATGGGAGTAACCGAATTTCATGATGTCAGTTATGTCGTCAAATAAGCATTTATTTTTCGTGCTATTCCTTATTTTTTCTCGTGCTACAGTAACACGTTTCTCAAATGTCTTTCGGTTGCGATGTTTCTGGGTTGCTAGGTGCTTTTTTTTCTTTCCTTGGAGACTAACTGTTTACTTGTGATGATATTCGCTGCTAATACATGCTTATTTTTCAACAGCGGTGCCAAATAAACTGATTGATTGTTTGCAGTTCACGTGGCCTTCCGCATCACTGTTCGTAAATGTTCCAGGTTTGTAATTGGAAAACTGAGCTGATTGATGTGCGATATTCTCTTAGCCCTTAACCAAGTGAGTTTAGATTCTGATTGCAACTTCTCGCAAGCTAGATCGCTCTTTATTTTAGTAATCAGGCACTGAATCCTGATTTCTTCCTTAATTTATTGGTATTTCATATCTACCAACAGTTCTGTAGGGCTTGTTTAATTTCTGCAATCAAAGTGTTAGCAAGTTCCTCAGCGTTTTAGTGCAGCTTAGAATAACGGTATCTGGCAATATATGTACTGGGTGGAGAACGTATTGAATACTTTATCCAATGACCTATCGTCACCAATAATATTTGCCTTTAACTGACGCTGGCCCTCGTCATAAAGTAATTGGCGAAAGAGTTTTATCTTGTGTAATTCAGTAAGTACAGTTTGTGGTGGGAGCAGAAGTAACAATTTAAGGCGCTGATCGGAACCGGGTTATCGGTTCAGTGGACGATTGTGAGAATACATGAATCGATTAAACGATGGATTGAAACTAGGTCAAGCTGAGTCACGGATAAAACTGCCTGGAAGGGTTTCGGTCAGCGTATGTCATGAACATCAGCATCACGTGATTGGACGAATGTGTACGTGGCAGTCTGCATATCTAGACGGCTTAACAACGCATAACGGGGATAAGTACAGACGCAGACAGAGGAGTTGACCGCGCATTGGGCTGCTTGAAGTTTGAACAAATACGTTGTCGAATAGCGTTTCACCAATCACCACAATACCTATTTATAACAAACGTGTCAGTTTCCAAATAGACAGCAGCTATGATTCTGAGATGAAACATTGCACTTGCCACCCACGAACACAACATAGTGCACCGATCAGGCCAAACGATTCATCAAGCCGATTTTCGATCCAGATGTTCCAGTTTGACGTTGGCTAACATGTACAACTTCATTGCACCAACAGATCCAGTACCGAGAGAGGAGTTGAGCAAGTTCGCCAAAAGATACTACGCAGATATCATTTCAGCCTCAGCAAGAGAGCTTTTCGCTCATACTTGAAGAACAGATTTTTACCACTACATAACCATCAGGAGGAAAACAGTGTACAAACGTTTCGCAGAAAGCTGTTTACATTAAACTATCTTTGAAGGGCAACCATCTTCTGAACGATGTGCGCCAAAAGTTGAAGTCACCGACTGAACCGCACGATTCCCCACTGCTCAACTTCGACTTATTGCCTCTACTCGTGAAATCGATTTGGACAAACGTGTCGATGGTTTGCATTCCAGTTTTGTCTCACACACTGTATATAAGTTCACCTGCAGTTACGGTGACATATACATACGCAGAACGAACCGTCAATTCTCACAGCGGATGACTCGACACATTCCAAGTCGGTTGGTGAATTCAGCAACGCAACCCACACCCAGTAATCAGCCGGTCACACATAACCCGGGGTCATCAAATTGCACTGCACGTCATGACAACCATAATTGAACCCGCTTCCTCCTTCAAACTGTTGGCAATAATTGAGGCTTTGCTAATCCCATTACATCATCCCGTTCTGTGCACTCAAAAGTTGTTGATGCAATCAGTTCACTGGTCATGGAGTTTACTTATGTTTTTCATGGTAATATCCCCCATCTAACTGTACTGGGATTTACAAATCGACCGTGCTCTAAATGTGCGTGTTTTTGTTGCATCAGCGATTGAGAAGATTAGACGAAATGGTAACATCTCGCGATATAATTCTTCCTTCGGTCTTGATACGATACGGATAAAGGGGACCTAGTGGTTTAAATCTTTTATTAAATAAAATTGTGTACAGTATTCAGCTTTCTTCATTTAAATACGATATTCGCAATAGTATCCGTAAGAAGTGCATAAGGTTCATTCAGTTATAATGATTTCTGTATTGAGGAACTCAACGCATGCAACATCGGGTAGAATACAAACCCCGATGTGTAATTGGAGATCACCTTGCCATGGTGATTACCCTCTACTGGTATGAACCGACCGCAAGAACTGTAGTCACTGTGACACTGGATCTGCTTGACTAAGGATTGAACGGGAGCATCGCATATTGATACAATCCGACCGAACGGAACCCCTTGCATTCTGCGATTGTAGGCGCGTACCGAGAGATGCTGAATTGCGTACTTCACGGATGACAGACGTGATAAATTCCATGATATCTTTCGGTTTCTACATCCCACAATAAGCATCGATGAGAAATACACTGATATGTGGGGTAACCAGGCGACCAAGTATGTGGGCGATAATTTCAGTTGTGCACGGCGAAACAAACTTAATCCGTCGATGGCAAGGTGCAGTAGCACCGTCGTAGACGCATATATCACATCTTGCATCGCCCCGTTTGAACTGTAAACCACCTGTTTTTGCAATGAACGACAAGTGAATACAAAGAGTATTGCTCATAGTAAAGTTGGTAAGAGAAATAATCTTTGTGAAACTATTTTGCGCCTGCTCCATCCGGGTTCGAATCAATCAGGTAATATTGTGCTGCCAGTCTGATGGGATTACAAAGCGGTAGCATCCACCGGGTTAGTTCAAATTGATGCCGTTAACTGTTGCCAGAGTCAAGCAAACAGGTCAGGGGAAACAATGCCAGATCGCATGCATCTTCAGTTATTCAAAATCAAAAATATTGCAACTTGTTCCTGAGTGGCTAACCCCCGGTATGATTCCTCCTTGACACTCCAAATGGACTAATTATTCTCATATCGTCGGATGTCTTTGAATGTGAAAATGTTGTCCAGGTATCCTATTCCGTAACCGTTTTCTCGATTCAAATATTCTGTCAATGAAGACTACAGATTCCATGGGAATGAAAATACACTATTAGAATAAAAATGCCGGAACGCCAATAAATAACGTGAGAGATATGCCCACTAACAAAGGTCTTCTATTGCAGGACAATGATCCTTTTATTATTTTTTTACCAGTTTGCCGTAAAAGACGTCACATCTGCAGCCAGATCCCTATGAAATTTGTCTCTGACTGCGGACAATCCGTCCGTGACCGGCAAAATACCCAGCCATCGAAGAGCCATTCGAAATGTTG